CACCGTTGATCTCTCCCCATCCTGAGCTGCGACGGCTGATTCTTCCCGTCATTGGTTGGTTGCTTGACGGTCCAGACCATGGACTGCTCATACCGGTGCCAGTGATGCTGGCTGCATTGCTGTCGTGGCGACTGTGCGATTGGGCCGCGCTGATGACACTGGCACCGTCTCCTGCAGTGGCGGTCTTGTGAAAGCTGCCGCGCTCACCGCTCCCTGCTAAAGGTGTGGCCCCGGATGCTGAGTAGACGCTGGCACGCTCTACACTGGCGAGACCCACCAAGCTAGGTCTGTTGAGTACACCCGGTGGATTAAACGAAGACGAGGTTGCTGACTCTCCGACATTTCCACTCAGCACACTCAAGGGTAAACTCTCACGGCTGCCACCAAACACCGAGGACGGCGCCAGGGCGCGAACAGAGGCATTTGTGTCGAGGGAGTTTCTGCGGCGCCTTTTTGACGACGATGCGAGGGTCAAAATAGAGGCGTTGTCGGTCAAGATATTGTTGGCTGTCGCAGTGCTATAGGTGACCGAGTGACCATGAGGGGCAAGGTGGGGCGGCACGGCCGTGGCTGGCGACGGGGGAAACTGATGAGAAAATTGCACCTGTTGCGTCGCTGGATTGTGTAGTGAGCCGGTATGGGTCAGACTGTGGTGCTGGTTCTGCGTATTGTAGAGCTGGCCAGAAGGTGCTGCCGATTGCACGGTGGTTAAGGTCGTGGTCAGAGATCGGACCGATGGCGCGGGCGATGAGAAGGTGCTTCCCTCGCCTCCCCCCTGCGAACTGATGCCACCACCCACTGTAGCCATCGTCCCTGCCTTGGAATATGCTGCTTCGGAGATGGCCGTATCACCGTTGGTTGAGATGGTTGGCGCGGTTGACTTTGCACTGGTGGCTGGGACCTGCTGCTCGTACCCGGAGTATGCGAGGGAGGGTTCGCTCTGCGAACAGGACCTCCGGCCGGAATCCGCACTCGCCTCGGAAGTGTTGAAGTCGCTATTATAGTCGGCAACCATGTGGGCAGTGCCCGACAGCGGGTAGGGGTTGTTCTTCGAACTCCGGCTTTTGTATTTGGGCATCGCATGACGCTTGTTGGACCAACGGTTGGCACTTGAATCGGTAGAATGCTTGAGACTGGCGAGTCGCTTCATCCAGCTAGAAAAGGGGTGACGACGTCCATTGCGATCTATACCTTGTATATGAGCACCATAAAAAAGAAATGCTGAGACAAGGGTGATGGGAGCTGAATCCACTCACCATGCGCCCTGGCGGGCCCTTCAGCCGTGGCCATTCTGGCCTTCCAGCAATCCACAGGTGAGATAGCCAGCGGAAGTGAGTGTTTTTGCGATCGCCACTCTCGACACGTTCCCCGTAGCGAGTGATGCGAGTCCACAGGGATATAGCGATAGACGGTTGGCCGATCAGATAAGAGCCGCAGGGGAAGATGCGTGAACCAAATAAACGGATATAAAGGGCTGGAGGGGTAGCGGAGGGAGAGACAGAGAAGAGAGGTGTGACGGGGGGGCAAAAACAAATAACTTCAACCCAAAAGAAACCGACAAGGACGGTAGCAAGAAACAAAAGAGTCCGGAAGGAAGAAGAAGAAGACCGAGAAATTGGGAGACTGGCGATGGAGGAAGAGGCCGGCCATCCACCCTTTCATTTCCAAGTCAGGAGTTCCTCAGGAGCTGCACGTGATGCCCGTCGGCCCAAAAAACGATCGGCGCCTGGATGTCGCCTTTCTCTCGCCTGCTCTTCACTCCCCAACCGATTCATTTATCTAATTGAGTGAATGAGATTCCTGCCTTGCACTCCTCTCTCCTGACGTGTCATCATGTCTGCCCTCTGGACATGGTTTGCCAGTGGTTCAGCCTGACGAATCTGTGTCGATCTGTTACGAATCCCGCCTCCAGCGCCATTTCAAGCTTCCGAGGCTGGAACTACTGCAGTGATGCGATAGCGCGTATCTCGCTAGCCCGCTTATTCGGTCTTTTGACATGGATATCCCCGGCGAATTATGTTAGTCGATCCGTGCCAGTTATGACTCGCTGCCGCACGCTTTAGTTCTTAGTCTGGTGCACGCCATCCCACGCTATGCCCTCGTGTCCAGTGCTTTCCCCTCGTGAACTACATCCTATCAGCAAGCATGCTGCAATCTTGATCTGCTCCATGTGCTTCACCCTGAACCATAGTAGTTGAGGGGACATTCAATGCTTTGGGTTAGTTGTTTGTTTTCACCTCGAAACCGGAGATTGTATACAGAACGACCCAGCCACGATAAGCTCAAACATCCGCAATCGGGAATGCCAGATACTACTACACAGCCCAATGTATTCCGTCTCTGGGGGAGCTAAGCTGGCACGCATCAACTGTCTTTTTATTTGGAGGATTTCTACTTGTCAGCAGTATAGCAATATTAGTCGAATTGTTCGAAAGCCTCGTAGGGAGTAGTCCAATGTTTATACAACGTATTCCACGATTGCTTATCGCCAGCTGTCTTATCATCACGTGATATGAGACATCATCGGCCGCGGTTTCCCCTGCTGAGCTCCATCTTGAATCGCTCTCTTCGTCCACTGTCAACATGGCAGAAATCTTTACTATTATATCATTAGTATAATCAGGTAACCTATTTTTTAATGTCTTCTTTGCGTTTTGGGCTTTCGATGACCTGTCTACCCTATCTGGTAAAGCTACAGGGCAGAATTCAAGCGCTGTCAACGAACTCGGAGCGCCACCACATTATGGCAACATGAGGAGAGAATCTTTACCAGGCAACAAACTAATTAACCAATTCCCTGGTGATGTCGTCATGGGATCCCAAGATACGGCCTCTACCGCCTGATGTAGTGGCGAAGCTCAAATCCTCAACTGCCATTACACACTTGAACGGAGTCATTGTAGAGCTAGTCAAGAATGCATTAGATGCAAATGCCCGCACAGTCTGTGTCACGGTCGACTTCGTTCGCGGGGGCTGTATAGTCGAAGATGATGGAGATGGCATTCCTCCAGCGGAGTTTGGACCAGACGGAGGATTGGGAAAAGCGCACCGTAAGTTTAACTGCCACATAACAATACCTTTTACTCATAAGTGACGCAGATACTTCAAAATACCATTCGAACCATACTATTGAAGGACGCAAAGGGCTTTTTCTTGCCTCGCTTGCAGCTCTTTCTCTGCTGACGATCACGTCACATCATGTTCGCCATTCGAGTACTAATACTGTCACTTTCCATCACTTGACGCCGGTTGCTCGTTTGATGCCAGCTCCAGTTTATCAGGAGCTGAGGTTTAGTGCCCATGGCACCTCTGTCACAGTAAATGATCTGTTCGGGAATATGCCCGTGCGCGTAAAAAGCCGAGCCTTGGCTCTTCAAAGACCGGATGAGCTGGAGCGGCAGTGGGATGAATTGAGGCACTTTTTGGTGTCGTTCATGGTTGCAAACGACAGGGTGGCTAAGCTAGTGATCCTAGACGCTCATAGAGACAAAAAGATTACAGTTTGCCCCCAGGGACTTGCAAGACAATATGGCGGGGAGCCTGATCTACAGCGACTGCGTTCCATCCTGGCACAGTCGGGGCTTGTCGGGGCTCAGAATACGGGCATATGGGATACCGTATCAGCCAGCGTTTCCGACTTCACGATTCATGCAGCAGTCTCTTTGACGCCTAGTCCTACGAAGAAGGTCCAGTTCGTCTCTTTAGGCTCGACCCCGGTGTTCGCGAGGAGCAACGCGAATCTGATCTATGCGGAAGTCAATCGCTCATTTGCCTTGTCGGACTTTGGGTCTATGAAAAACTGCTCCTCTGCAGTTGAAGCGCCCGTCCGGGCTGCTGATGGCCAACTCATGCATAGCAAACCTGCGTCTAAAGCAGTCAATAAATGGCCAATGTTCTATATACGTATAGACAGCTGCAATGAGTGGAGTATCGACGACGACACGCAAGAACTTCCGGAATCAGACAAGTCCCTCCAACGTATCATAGATGTGCTTTCGACAATGATCAACGAATTTCTCAGGCAAAGCAGCTTACGCCCACGGACTGGGAAAAGGAAAAGAAGTACGCCCAATGTACCACCAGCTACTACGCGCCATAGCAGCGTGAAGGCCGGAAGGTCTCTATCTCCAGGAGGTGAAGTCTCCGCCACCGAAGAAACTCTCGGCAATCAGCTCAGGCTCCCCTCTTTGCGAAGACCACCCAATGTCAGTCATCACTTCGGAGATTGGACCAGGATAAAAAGTGCGAAGCCGGAAACGGTTAGCAAGAGGTTTCCTTTACGCGGTCGCGAACCCAGGTCAACTCGCTCAGAGAATTACCCAGCACATCAAGTCCAGGATCATTTGAACCAGCAACCAGCGCTCCTATCTGCAAGCAATGAAGGCACGGCCACTGAGCCCCGATCTCCTGTACTGGAAGAACCAGAGAAGCACGAAGAGCAACTTAATCAGATTCATGAAGAGACAGCTACCGACAGAATGACGCCATGGGTCGATCCTTACACGGGTAGACGCCACTTAATCAACTCGCGCACTGGTCAGTCCATACTCCATGGGTCTTCAGTAGCAGCGGACGTGGCGCTGCGGCCCCGGTCCACTGGGTGTCTACCAGAACCACATCGCGCTCCAGATGAAGTGCAGCGACCAAGATCGGTCGATCTGCAGAGGACCGACAACAAGTGGGTTGAGAAACTTTTGGACAATTGGATTAACCCTGTTTTTGGTCGCCCAGAGAGGCCTATCAGTGCGATGGATGTCAGTGCTGGCCACGAGACAGCTCGCCCCGGGTCTAGCTCGCGGAACAATCAGGGCGAGCTATGCGGTTTCGAAAGCATGGGAGTGTCGAAGTTTCGCGGCAAACTGCGCAAACAGGATTTAAGAGCTGCAGAAATTATCGCCCAAGTGGATCAGAAATTCATCCTGGTAAAGATGCAATTGCCCTCCAATAGCCCTGGGGAGCCTGCATCAAACCTGATCTTGATCGATCAGCACGCTGCGGATGAACGCTGCCGGGTCGAGGCACTCATGGCAGAGCTGTTCACATCAGAAGAAGATAGCCCGGGCTCCATCCAAACCATCACATTGGATCCCATTATTTTTGAGATACCCGCTACCGAAGCATCCCTATTTGAACGATATAGAAATTTCTTCCACTCTTGGGGTGTAGCTTACACCATGGAACAAGGACCCAAAGACAAGAACGTCTTCATTTTCGTACACACCCTCCCAACCCTCATCGCCGAGCGCTGCCGCACCGAGCCCAACCTAGTCTCTGACCTCATCCGCGGCGAGATCTGGAAACGCGAAGAAGAAAACGGCCGAAGCCGACAGCCTCACCATCCCACCGGCTTCGGCGCTTCTCGTCCAGATATGGCCCAAACCAGCAGCAGTTGGGTAGACCGACTCGACGGCTGTCCTCGAGGGATCATCGACCTGCTGAACTCTCGCGCATGCCGCACGGCAGTCATGTTCAATGATGTTCTGGACAAGAATGAATGCCAGAGTTTGGTCCGACGACTCGCAGATTGCGTTTTCCCTTTCCAGTGCGCGCACGGCCGGCCCTCGATGATACCTATTTTGGAAATGGGGGCTGCTGTATCATTGGATCAGACTCAGTCGGATGAATATGAAGGTCCTGGTTTTGTTGGCATGTTTAGGAAATGGCAGGATGCGAAGACTGGTTAGCTAGCGAGGTTTACCCTTTTTACTACGTGCCATGATTACAAGGCTAGATATACGACATGTGAATAGTATATGATCAGATCATGATATCGATCGATTAGTCAAGAGACTAACTAGTATGTTGCAGAATGGTATATACAAAATAGTACACAGATCCTATCCTTCCAAATATCCATCCAAGTTCCATGCCCATCCAATAAGTTCCTAGTCCATAACAAGCCAAGTCCAAGTCCAGTTCCAAGTACAAATCCAAGCAATGCTCCCATCCATCCAAAGAGCAACCAATCGAGCAATAAGACAATGATAGTAAGATCAGACAGAAGGGTAAATGTAAAAGAGGATGAAAACACAGGTCCCCATAACAGAGAATGGTATAAGAAAGAAACAAAGATAAAAAGCAGAGAGACGCACTCATGACCCATCATCAATACATGCATCTCCATAACAAGGCAAGGCCCAAATCGAATCAACGAGTATGTGGTGTGCGAGCCGCGAGGCTCAAGTTCCGACCTGTATAAGACCCCCATATATGCTTTGCCCTCCCTTTTTGGTGAATGTTAATTTTTTCCCAACCGCCCCGGTGCATGCATGTACACATTCCGTTTGTTTTGGAAGCCCTGTAATTTTCCCTCCCTCTTTTTTCTTGTTTCCCCGAACCAAAAACGTATGGATGAAATATTCACGAGTACCGCCCAGAGAGTAATAAAAATTAGAAGAGATGTGGAGGAGGGTGAGAGCAAAAGGTATACACAGCGGAAATGCGAGAAAAACGTGTGTAGTGAGAAGTAGAGATGGGAATAAAAATGGGTAATTGGTTAAGAATCCGTGAAAACATGAATTGAAGTGACTGTCGTAATTCATTAAAGTAGCGGCCGTGACGAATGAGTGGGATTCGACCTGTTCAACCGTTCGTCGCGACCGACTTGGATTTGGAGGGATGTGTCCATGAGAGAAAGTCGAACTTGTCTTTGGCATTCTCGAGAATCGAAGAGGAGCTGGATTCGGGTTGCATGCGCGCTTGGGGCACTTCCCGGGGCTCCAGGACCAGCGACCGGCGATAGAATGTCTGCAGACTTTTCTCGCCGCTCGATCGCACACGGACCAGCTCATTCTGCATCCACGCTTGGAGCTCCGGCACTTCCGTCAGGCGATACGGAATCTGGAATCGTTGCAGCTCGCTGATGATCTTGGCCGTCTTCATGTGCTTGTCGAAGTTAATGACTGCCATATCACCCTCGTCTGTGGGCAAGGTACGCAGTGCCTGGTTGCCGTGGTCCACGAAGGTGAGGTCCGTGAGGTAAGTGCCGACGAAAGGCAGACAAGGAGGGACGCGGTTCTGCAGACGCTGCCGGAGAACGTAGTAGTTCCGTGAGACATCGACAATGCCTCGCAGGTATTCCAGAGTCGTCTTGGTCTTCTGAGACACCACTTCCCAGGTCCGCTTCAAGCGGGAGATCATAGATGAATTTAAGGAGCAGATGATGGCCATCAATGAGTCGTAGTTGCTGAGCTCCAGGCACTTGTTCGCAATCTTGACCCAGTGCTTGATGATCGCTGCACGCTTCTTGGGCTCCTCCAGCTGGAGAATCGAATCTGCCACGAGATGCGTCAGGTCCGTGGACAGAGTGGCCATGGCCCTGACGTTAACGGCCAGGGAACCCGATTTCTTCATCCACTCCGTCGCTAGCAGCTCTTCGGGAAGAATAGCGCAGAAGATGCGCGACTCCTTGATCGTGAACTGGCGAGCGAGTTCCATCGGGTCAAAATCCAAGATGGTAATTGTGCCTTCACCGTTCTTCCACTGCTTCAGAAGGTTGACTTCCTTCTTTCCAAGGATGGGTGGTGGCAGAGGTGTGTCTGGGTGCACATACTGTGCAGTTGCAGTATTGGTCTTTCCCATGGAAGACACCAGACGGGGTACCACTGGTCCGTGAACCATTGACACCTTGTCGGCAAGCTCGACAAGCCGCTTTCCAGCAGACGGAAGGTTGTTCATGAGGATCGTGCTGGCGAAGTTCACAATGTATTCGAGGGCACTGTTATCGCAGTCGTGACGCCAGTGAGATTCGAGCCAGCCTTTGAAGACGTTGTAAACACGCAGACGAACGGGTCCGGCAGTGTGAGGAGTGTCCCCGATGTAGTTGAATCGATCAACCAAAGTCTCGGCAAACTCGATTGGGGTAGCGAAAAGACGGAAAGTGAGATAGAAGGTCGAAACGAACATCGCGTCTGGCGTAGACTGGTGTGCAGTCAGCTTCTCGACGAGTGCCCGTAGACTTCCGCCCATGATCTGGCCATCTTTGAAGATCAGCTCGTGCGCGTAGGTCTTCTCCAGAATATTGGCTTCTCCTTCTTCTGTTTCCTCGGCCAGGGTGGAGTGACTGATGCTGCCCTTGAGAGAGGGAACCTGGTAGTGATTGCCAATGTCGGGCGAGGTAGCGCGAGTAGAAGTCTGGGAGACACCACTCATCTCCGAGTCGCGGAGACGGCTGTTGAATGTAAAGCTACTTCCATTGCTAGTGATGCCTCGGCCAAAGGACTCACTAACATCGGACTTGGCTTGGCTGTCCCTGTGCGGAGGGATCTCGATGGGTTGGGTGTCGTGAGACGAAAAGGATAGCTTATCCAGGCTGGAGGAGAGGAGATTGGTGGACGGGAAGGAGGACATGTCGGTGCCGGGAGTGCTGGCTCCACCACGCGACTGGAAGGAGGAGGGAGTAGTGTCATCCGTGAGACCTGGGGTTGGAGGAGAGTATCGGTTGTTGATGGAGTTGGGAATCTGTAGAGGAGGCGGGGGCAAGCGCAATGATGCTTCTTGAGATCGGTTCTGGTGACCAGCAAAGGTGCTTGTCTTCGGGGGTTGCGGGGTTTTGTTGGCGTCGGTTACCGCGCTGGTTGCAGCAGGCAAATCCTGGGGCATTGCCTCCAGCTCGAAATCACCGCATTGCTCCAGCATCAGTCGAGCTTTGGCCAGGCAGCTCCCCGCTGCTCGCACGCAATCAGTGGCGGCATCCACCAGGCGCTTTCCTTCATCAGGCAAGAACACAAGCTCATCATCTGGAGAATGGGCCGGTCGGAAGGCGTCCCGGGCCGCATAGACCAATTCGGACAGGCGTTCATACATAGTGTCCCTAGCCTGCTCCAGGTGCCCACTGCCTTGCGGGTCATGCTCGCAAGTGGCCTCGACGACGGTGAGCAGCGCGCGGCAGGAACGCACCGCCTGCTCCGTAGTCACAACCAATTCCGTGGACGAGCGGGATTGCAGGTGAAGCCCAATAAATGAGCCCAGCACACCGAGGAATGCGTCGTAGGCATCGTTCAGTCGTTCGGACGCTAGGTTGGGGTTGCGGGCAATCGCGGCCGGTCCCGAAGTAGAGACCCGGTGGGAGACGGAAATCCGCTTGGTGGTCACAGACACCGGACGGGTCTGTTGAGAGTCGTCCAGGCGAGTGGATGCTCGGCTCATATCCAATCGGCTACGGTTCATGAGTCTAGACTCGTTGCGCTCGGTGTCGGCCTCGGAGCCAGCAGCTTCCGATATGGGGCGAGTCTCAGAAAGCGTAGAGAGTGGGCCTTGCTGGTAGCCTGATTGCTGCTCGAGCTCGGCGATCGTCCTGCTCAGGCCAACTTCCTCGGTCCACACATCGAGAAAACGAACTCCTCGCGTAACTATGCGGAAAGCCTTGAGTAGCATTTCGTCGACCATGTAGTCTATTTCATCCTGCGTCGCATTGCCGCTGGCAACCTCCTGAAACCTCTTGGTAGTCCGGACCAGAGATGAGAGCTCAGCCAGCAACGCTTTGCGATTCCTGCGCAGACCGTCGTGACTGGTGACCAGGATACAATCCCGTGTGAGACATTCGGATTTTTGCTGTGACCCGGTCAGTTATCCTCCGATAAGCACCAGCTAGGAGTCGAACACCTACCAATAGGTAGCGCACGCCAGCAATCAAGCCACGTACAAGATCCTGGTTGCCAGCGTCGTTTAGAGGGAATCCACAGCCTCCTCTAATGATATCCCAGAAGTCGGTCAACGCCTTCAAAAGCGGCCGCATAGGCTGTTGGTCATACGCTTCGCAGTAGTTGGTGGGTAGCCAGCCCCGAGCTCCAGTATCTAATAGTGTACCATCGGCCCAACCATTGGTGTGAACAGAATGCACTAGAACGATGTCGCCTTGGTCCAGGGGGAGGGTGACGGTCGACGGGGAGACATTTCCGGAGGGGTGATAAGGATAGAATGCACGGAGGTAGTTGTGGAAGACGGCCCTCGGCGTCTCTGATTGCTCCATACTGTCGTCTTTGTTGCCGTAAGGTGTTAACGGAGGGCTCATTTCAAGATTGTGCTGCTGATAATAATAGTGTTGTTGTTGGTCGTCGTAGTGGTAGTTAAGGTTTCCCTTTTCGATCTTCAATGGCGCAATGTGTCGCTTCATTGATTCCATGTCTTTAATTCGAGACGAGATCGGTGTGTTGGATAGCCTTCCGCTTGGTAGGTCCAGTCGGACGTCGTGGTCACTGACCAAGGCTTATGCGAGAGAGGACGCAATGATCATTCTCGCGCTATCCTATGAATGGTGGTAAAGGTGAAGAAAAGCAAGTGAGTTGCACAATCGAAGTGTGTCAGTGATGTAGTATAGACAAAGAAGATGATCGAGCTAGTCGAGATGTAATGATGCGTGTGGCTGTAATGCAATCAATGTCTGTGATAGAAGGTCAATCATGCGGCGCTGCTGAAGGCTGGTGCGAGCCTTGAACGTTGACGGTGTGATTTCTACCCTCAGGCCGGCAAGGGCGTCTGAAGGATGTTTGGGAGGGGATGGTTCTGCATGTCTCCCGGGGAATGTCCGATTCTAGGGAGGGGAATGGAAGGAATGCTGGGGAGGGGCAACCGGTTGCTAACGTACCTTGAACGCGAACCTAGAAAACGCGGAAGAAAACGAAGGAGGTGCGTTGTTCGAAAATTGCAGCGATGCGATCTATAGTAGGTGGCTCGTCGAGAGTAATTATGCAGCGACTCTGCTGCAGTCACGTTCTCCAATGCGCTGGATCAAAACGAGGAGTGAAGTTGAGCACGAGGAAACCGGGGAATTGAGGAAGGTTTGAGGCAACAAAAGCCGAGTAGACAAGCCGCAAAACAAAAACAGAGTGTGGCGAACAATAACAAGCAGTCACTCGACACCCGGGATGAGGAAAACCTGCCTCGTTCGAAAGGGAGGGCGAGTGAAAAGAGGACTAGATAGTGCTGTAAAGCAAGCAAGGACCACGAGTCGACCCCGGACTAGATCTTCGAAAATCCACGGGTTACCTGCGACAGTAGGAAAATTAACCCGGACAACGAGTGTGACCTTTTCCTTTCCCAGGAGTTCGATCGACGGGGAGTGCAGCGACAATGACGACAGACGGAAACGAGGCGAGCTCCTCTGCTGTAGCTGTGGGCGGGAGGGATAATCTTGTTCGCAGGCAGACACGCAAGGGCCGCGACAGTATCTAAGACACGGCGAATTAAGCAGAGACCGGAAGGGCGGGAATGAGCGCAATGCAGGCCGTGTCGGTTTATGAGGAGAAGTGATGTTGTGTAATGCTAAGCTATTCAAGTCAATTGCCACCAGCAGCAATGAGTGAACGATCGGAAGCTCCACCAGGGTAGATGGAGAAAGGGGAGGATGATCGGTAGTGGTGATGTATATAGTATAGTGAGTGTGAGGTTGGGAGTGGAGGAGGAGGAGGAGGAGAGGGGGAAAGGTCAGAGTGAAGAGGGAAACGAGCGGGAAGGAGAAAGAGGTCAGGGAGAGTAAGTGGATGTCAGTCCGTGTATGTATGTAGTCGGATGTCCGTGTGTAGGTAGCGATGTGACGAGATCGAGTCAAACGAACGATATTGAGGGGAACGGTCCAAGGACAAGGAACCAGGGAAGTACCTGGTACTAGCCCACTACTAACTACCTGACGGAGAACGGGGACGAGCAGGAGCAGTTCTCCAGACTAGTTGGTGCGGTGACTGGCCTAGAGGAGTGGATAGCAAGCACTGGTGGTTATCCACAGAACCGGTGGATATGACTCGATTCGGATGTGGAGCAGACGATCGGTGCCCCTTGTGCACCTTGGGGTCTGTTTGGACGGACAACAATGAGGGAAAGGGAGAGAAAACCAAGCCGAACCACGGCTGGATGAATGGATGAATTGATTGACGGATTGATTGATGTGCACGCGCATGGATGAGAGGAGAGGAAGAGAGAACGCGCAATGATAAGGGTCGTGTCTTGCCTGTCAAAATAATATACTGACTAGCGGTGCTTGCCTTCGGTATACAATCATCCCATTAAAAATCTCATCAAAAGCAATAAATAAAATCCCCATTTGCACTCACTCCCCTGGTCAATTTTTATTTCTTCTTTTTTTTTTATTTTTATTTTTCTAATCCCAGTCGGAGTCGAGTCTGGTCTGGTCTGATCTTTTATTTTTTATTTTTTTTTCTTTTTCTTTTTTTGATTCTTCTATTTTTCCTTTTCGACCTTTCTTTTTATTTTTCATTTTCTATTCTATTTTTTCCCTATAACCTATTCATGTAGTATTTCTATTTTTTTTGCTCGGCCTTCTTTTTTTTTTTGTTTTCCTTTCCCAGGCCCAGTTATTTTGATTTTCCCCTTTTTCTCCCCAAATCTGCCTTTTCCGAGGAAACCCAAAGCCAACCAGTGGCCGCCCAACGCACGCAGCTAACCTTTTAGTCCTGCCTAAACGGCTATGATCTGCCATCACACAACCGGTGCAGTTCCAGGGTACTACGGGACAACCTATCTATCTGTCCATCCATCATGCAATGTAATTTTTATTTTTATTTTTATCCATTTTGCCTCTCTCTCTCTCTCTCCCTCCCCCGTCCGATAACATGGAGCTCCAAACAATACTAATAATGATAACAATAGATATCCACCCCATGATATGATCGCGATCGCGAAACTCATCTAAGTATCCATCTCCAGTGGTTTGTTTCTCCGGACTAACTAATTTCAATAGTATACTACTTAACTAGTTAGATACGTACGTACGTACTTTCAAACCTATTTAGTCAGGTAGTGTAGGTTTTACTTGTGTACTTACACAAGCCCATCATCCACCTAAAGCCTACTAGCCACCTACACTACCAATAACTGGTGGACTACTAGTGCGGAAGCCCGTCCTGTCAAGTCACTCAGTCAGTCAGTCAATCAACCCAACCCAGGCAGGTAGTAAGTAGGTCCCCGTCAGCATATTAAAAACGGCCACAGCGGACCTTCCCTTCTCTTTTCCTTTTTCTTTTTCCCCCTATGGCTTGGCTCTCGGCAGTGTAGTTATGTAGTACGTACTTTTGAGAAAATAATTAAAAGGAAGAGGAAAGAGAGACAAATAAGAAAAAAGAATCTGCTTACACCATCCGTACTAATTGGATTTAGTGCGTGCAAGTGAGCACTTTGACAGGCGGGCAACCCCCTCCTCCTTCCTTCCTGCCTTCCTTCCTCCTTCTCCAAATTAATAACGCGCGAGCTATGGTATTCTTTGTAATTTGATTCGACTCGAATATTAAAACCAAAAATAACAATAAATCCTTCTATCCACTGACCTTTCAGTGAATAGATTAAATTTTAATATATACGGATTGTTTTTAATTTATTTAAGTACATCATCCTTTTCCTCTCTCTGTTCTTCTTTTTCTTCTTTGGAGTTGCCGCTAGACCTCGTTAGGGCAGGCCCACCGAGATGGAGGATTAGTGAGTGGGGAGAAGATGGACTGTTGTATGGACAAACAGGGGTTTGAGTTTGAAGGGCCCAGTATTGCTGGCAGTAGTTTGGCCTGTCTAACTAACTCCGTAGTCTACTTACTTAGTGAGTACTGGAAGAAGAAGGATAACAATAATAATGATGCTGATATATACTTAGTAAATAATAAGTAATAAGAATTGACTGACTCTTTATTTTTTTATTACATTCGTTATGGGCAATCTATGCATGTAGCTACCTTCTTCCGCTTTCCAGCTAAAGTAGGTCGCTACCTACCTTAGTAACCGGACAAACATACTTTACGTGGTGGCAAAAAAGCCACGGCATCCCCTCACGTTTGTATACGCAGCTCTTAATCAAAGTCACGTCTCCCTCTCCAAGAATTGAAGCAAAAGCACCTCGTCACGGTGCTTTATGAATCCCTCATATTCTGGATCTGGGGTACCATCACCTGAGCAGAGGTGGAAGAACGGAAACGATTAGTAAGAGAAATAGTACGAAAGTATGGGGGAGGGAAAAAGGCCACACTGCGTTGAGTGGAAAGTCAAAAGTCGGAAAAGTCGAAAATTTGGGACGTCGCAGACTGGAGGGGGGAAGGAGACTCGACTCTAGTAGAGATCGACAAGGCAGTAACCATCCCACTGGGACCTCTCGAGAACTTTCTCGAGGCCATCATCCACTGACTTTACTTTTTCCTTTCCACAGCCCATCCTGTAATTGATTGGTCGGGTACTTTTTGGATGTTTCAATTGCCTCGACAGCTTCCGCATCGGCCCGTTCTGGCTGCTTGCTGTACAGTATCCTCTTTGGGATTGCCCTGCGTATTCGGCCTAGGCATCTGGATACTCGGCGTTCACCCTTCGCCTCTTGCTAGTCATTCGGTCCACAGAGGCGAACTTCAAGCAAGCGAGCGAGCGAGCGAGAAAAGAAAAAGGCGAAAAAAGGAACCCAGTGGCAATCTAAAAATTCAGGATTATCCGAATCGAGCATTCTACTGCTTGGTTACCTGGTGGAAAACTAGTGCGGAGCACCATTGGCCGAGAAAGTAACGGCCTCGAAATAGAAACCGATGGACGACAATCCGCGTCAATCAGGGCCCGGCAAAGAGAGAGAGAGAGAGGAGCAGCCAAGATGAGGGGCCAATAGGATGAAAAAATGACCTATCGACTGTCACGGGGAAACGGGCAGCAAAGCAATGAAAAAAGGATGAAGACTAAGGATGCATCATTCCCTCCCCCGACCCACTGGCTAATCCACTGCCGAGCCAACGAGCTCTCCCAAGCTGCTGGCCCGGCTTTCTTGTCATCTCTGACGGCCGGGGGAGAAGCTCCAGGCTCAATTCTTAGCTGTGCGGATGCTACTAGGGTTTCGGGGTGATCACACAAGACATTTGGCCAAGTTGAGCATCTCCTAGCTCTTCCTAGGTTATAAACATTAACTTACAAAGTAAATAACTCGGTCGGTTACGCGGTTCCACGGAATCTGGTCAATATCGGATAACAACCAGCCAATTGCCGATAGTATCGAGATCACAACAATTGGGCAAAGTAGAGCTCCCTCAGGTCCTCAATTCTAGTCGCACAATCTTTGCGAAGGGATTCACATGTCTCACCCAATGACCTACTATGTGCACTCTATTTCGTACCTGCAGACCAACCCTGTCTGCTGTGCAGCAAGTGAAGTGTGCAACTGTGACGGCGATCCAGATAGTAGTTCCGTAGGGCGGTGACTATCTTCTCTCCTAACTGTTAATGAACAAATTACACACCTACGTCAGTGTGCGATACTCAAGTCACTCGCTAGCATCTCCAGATTGCCTGTGCACAGATTTGAGGGAAGTTATTTGTGGCACCGGATTATCTACGACGCAAGGGCAATCGCGCACAGCCTTACTACCCCCGCCTGTGCCCGTATCCACCACCGATCGATATATACAAATGCATCATTACATAGGCACATGAAACTCATAACTAATGATGATCTCCAATGCTTTGCAGTAAAACACGAGAACTAGATGCATCATGCATCATCTATATACGGCTCATTAATCCGCGGAAGTAGATGGCTTACTTAGCCACTTGATTATTGATTCCCCATAGGAACCGGACCATTGCCACTCCGGACGCCCACACACATATACACATGGTAATGACTCTCGGTGCTATAGCTATGAACCATGCCGAACCGAGGAATTGCCTGCGTCTCAAGACGGCCGGCTACATGACCATCTTCCTCCCATAACTACAAAATAAGTACTACAACCCCCAATTGTGCCCGTAGATCCCCCCTTGGCATTGTTGGTACGCATTCTTTGACGTGTGATTTTTCCTTTTGATGGCGGAAGTCTCGAACTCTATACCCTTTCTCCCTCTCCCTCTCCCGCGCGCTCGGATAAGAGACTAACCCCTAGTCAGCTGGCAAGTTAAGTAGTAGTTATGCGAACCGATATCCCGCTTAACCGGGCTGATAACTATCTATCTGACTATCTGTCAGGCAAAGAAGCAATTCAATGCAACAAAGATAAGCAAGCATGCAGATATCTGTACGATGTATCGAGGATCCCCCACCCATCCATCAATACCCAAATATGAGCCGATGAGGGGGGCGCAGTGCGATATTTACTTCTGCCGCGGACTCGGCTCCGTCAGCTTGGTTCTCGGGTCTGATCGCCACGATTCAATCGGGTGCGGAGTGAGGGCGCGCATACATGAGGGGGGTAAAGGGTGAAGCCACCCCTCCCCTAACTAGTTTGGATCTTGCATGCATGGCTGGGTGAAGTTTAGGAAGTGATAGGTACGAAGTAGTATGTCTACAGTAGGTCTAGTTGGTAGGTGGTGCTGGTGGTAGTGCTACAGTGCGTAATGCCAGATCGAGTAACTCTTCCTGTCGGAATGGAGTCCGCGTCTTCCGTTAGCTTTTGGCGAGAATTACACGGCGTATAGTAGTTCCCGCGTCGATTAAGTTCGAAGTCAGACGAAGAACAAAGACGTCTTGAGACGGGATGAAGTACGACGCCGGTTTTGGTACTACTGCGACTACGACTTACTACCTTACCCCATTTCTATGAAGGAATGACAGGTCGTAAACGGATGATTTCCGACTACTCCGTGGGACAAAGGAATGATCATCATACTATATACTGTGTGGGCATTAGGCACGAAGCCGGCGTTGTCCCACACTGACACAGCGGCCGTGAATAGATAGATAGTTTAGTTGGTTAGTTGGTTAGCCCGAAGGACGTGCTGACTGCTGACACCCGACCGTTGATGCCGGCAAGCTTGAGTCCAGACCAAAGGAGCGCTAAATCCGAGTGGGAATTGCCTGTATCGGTTTAGGCTGACGGGTTAGTTGAGGGCAAAGCGGTGCTCGGTCGAGCCTAGGATGTCATCCTTCTCCAGGATGCCCTTTCGAACAAAGGGAGTCTCATTCAGCTGGAGACAAGGCTTGTTCATCCGCCAGGCCTAGAAACAACACGTGCCCGTCGCTGTATGCGGGACTAATTCTGGGAGGGGTTGGCTTGCGAACTAAACGAGGGTCAGTGCTACTTCTTCCCTGTCACCTTGCTTTAGCGAGTATATTTCTCCTTGGGTTTCGAGTAAGTCGGTTTGTAGATCCCATGGTGATCAGATGGATACCACAGGGCTCAGATACTCACAATGTGGCTAGAACCGAGGGAAAGGCCAACATCAATGCATCCGTTCTGGAGCCAGAACATCAAAGCAATCCCCGAAAGAGGGGGTGATTGTGTGCTAGGCAGGCAGTATAGTATGCGCCTAGACTAGCAGCAGCACAAGAACGATAACGGGATCTGCTCTGGCTCACACTTACTAGAACCGAACAGGATTGACTCCGAAATTACTTTGGCCTCATTAATTCATTCTGGCGGATGGCAGGCCCAGAAATCCCCACCGCTAGGCACTAAAATTGTTAGATTCCGTCTCTCATCCATCGCCCGTTCTGAAGGACGGGATGCTCGGCGACCGCACGGCGTGAATCACTTCCACCGCGACAGCTCTCCCCCCCACATAGGAAACCGCAGCAACGCGGGACGGCTCGAGTCACAACTGAACCTGAGCCCGCTCAAGGCTAGCCGTGTTCTGTTCTAGTCTGCCCCTGTGCCAGCGGAAGGGAATGGATAGGAGGAGGCGTTCCACGGCTAGACTTGGATTGACCGACCGCGTCGCGTCGGGGAGGGAGAGAGGATCCGTCTGTCGCGGGCGTGGATGAATGTAGGACTTTTCAGTAGGATCGTGGGTAGGGATCGTGTAGATGACCCGATACCTAGCTAGAGTAGCCTTATTATCTCAGGGGGATAAGGAAGGGGGAATTTCACCGTGTCTGTCTCCTTTGGAAGGCAGTTTGCTTCTTTCTTTTTCGTTCCTGCGCGGCTGCCTGAGATCTCAGGAACCCTCACGTGTCGGATCAGGTGGTTTGAGCTGTTTGGCTGGCCATCCCAAGATATACTTTCTTCATCACTTCCTTGGATTTCATTTCCGACCATCACATCACACTGATCGTCCTCCTTGCTCGATCTTGCTATTCGCCTCCTGTATCTCGTTCTCCTGCTGTTTGTCTACGAGCAATGTGCCACGGCCGGCTCTTCCTCCTGGCTAACTGCACGCCCGCCAATAATCCCTTTACGCTCCCGCCCCATCGGCCCACAATCGAGCACATCTGGATCTTCGGTCGCTAATAGAGACGTGAAACAGAGCGAGTTGTTATTCCCATGGTACGCCGTACTCGCTACTCAGTTTGCGGAGAATCGGCCATCTATCTGAGAACCTGTGGAACCGTGCTGCCGACAGAGCATTTACTGGATCAATCTGATCAAGTCACAAATGTGGAGCCCTCTTCCCGGTAGTTGAGATCGAGTGCTCGCGTCTGGTCTATGTGACTGCTCGTGGCCTGGAGTACACACCAGCCGTCATGGTTGACAGGATCTGGCATCTCGTGCGCCTAGATCGACGGCCATTGTATCCTGGCTCACAGTGCATGACAGCGCACGCTCGAATGGCTGATCAGATCCACAATGACTCCTACACTGACATTTCCGGTGACAGCATATCGAGCACGGAGTAGATAGATCAAATCCATGCTCCCTGACACTAGGATGACCGATTCGCCGACAACGCACAGCAGACTAAGTGGATCCTCATCGCCAATTATACCTCTTCAGACCAAAGAGCGAATTAGCGGTATATCCTTCCAGTCATTGCCCCGTGCCTCTCCACTCATGTTCTCAATGCTTTGATTTTCGCACGAGCGCACGGCCGTCTGAAGAACCAGAATTAGCATCATACAAATGGCTTAACAAAGTACGTCCAACTTGCTTTTTGGCATTGGAACGCTTTGTGCATTACCGCTCGCCCGCGCGATTAAATTCTTCAGGACCTGCATGTAGCCTGGATCCAACTAGTAGGTAGCTATCTGTTTTCTTCTGTCGTGGCGTCCGGACTACTTCGTGGATGCGTCGTCTAGTCTCACAATGAGGCAGGATTTTCAGATGCATGCATGATATAGCGGGTGGAGGCGCCAGGTTGCCTGGACAGGCATTTCAGCTCCAGGATCAGCGTGCCATCCATTTTCTTTTTCCTCTTTCGTGAGGGACTAACCGATTGGTAGCTGTCAGTTTGCTCTAGCCAGTGCCGGTCGCGCTAGCTTCATTCACCGAGCCACGGCGATCCATTGCTCGATCAATATCATGTGTAGTTGAAGCTGAGCACGGTATACGTCGTCCCTACGGAGTACTAAGCGTCGCTTTTGACATCACAATCTAAAGGATTAGATTAGACCTTCGGGAGGTCGGGAAGGCAAGCACGAGCCATATATCCCCGACGGCTTATGCCTAAGCTATATACCCCAACTATCCGACCTTTAGGCCTTCTCCGCAATGGGCTAAAGGTTAGTATCTGCCTTTACGGTTGAGGGTTTTACGACTGGGAAATGTAAGGCCGTCAATGTTACGCTGCAGGATAGCCCGAGGAAGAAACCAATGTGCGCTGAAGAATATTACCTCTGCCGCCACTGCCACGCCAGCCGTGTCCCTCGAAACCAGGGAAGGGCAAATGTCCGCCGACTATTGATAGGTCCAGAAGAAGAAATACCGACGGAAATACGCCGCATGTCGGTATGTGAAGTAGGTCGGTGCCTTTTGTCGGGGACCAACTTACCCAAACCAGCAACATTATCGGGGTCCCTAGGAAGAATTTGCAGATTAGACCCATGCTAGAAGAACAGCTACTGCAGCAGGTGCATACCGGCAAACAATATAAAAAGAAGCACGAGCCATTCAGGATGCCTCGCTCACTTCCCAACTCGGATAAGCAGCCTAGTGCCATGCACGCTAACCAAACCATGCAGCTTTACTCGTGGGATTATTTTCGCCCCATTAGCCAATGATCGCTTCGACGCGCACGTTCTTCTGCCCTTTCACGTGCGGTGTGACTTGACTGCATTGTCACATCGGGTACTTTCTCTTTTGGCAACCAGTCGTGTTTCTGCGGGGTGAAAGTACCCCCAGGTACCTTGTACATGAGGCTGGCATATGTCAATGCTTGTCAGGGCCTAGGCTCCTTGCTCCTTGTTTGTCCGCGGGCTGAAGAATCCTCTGGCTCATTGTGACAGGCTTCATTGTTTGCCCTCTGCATGAAGGACTATTCACCGCTGTCTGGACTTCTGATCTTCATATCCTATAATGCTGCCACTTTATTGCTTGTGATCGGGCAGATGTGACGCGTCGCGCAGCCAATACCTCGGATGGCTATATGCCTGCGTGCGCGTCTCGATATAGAAACAATTATTGCAAGCATATAATTCCGCTAAGGACGCGACTGCGGACCTGCATAGTTGTGGACAATAATATATGCCACTATAGGCTGTTTACTAACTGCGTTCGATATCCACCACGGGCTCCAATATATATTGGCGGCTAGTAGTAAAGACACATCCAAATGTATATTCTCGCTTCATTCCTTGCGACTAATAGTAAGATATCCCTACAGTAGATACTTAACTTACTATTCAAGCAATTAGTAAACGCTGCCACCAAATGAACTTTCATATATAATTTTGATAGTAGTATATCCCCACTAATGGCGCATCACGACGCCCACCTACACGCTAGCAGTAGACATGCAACAAAATCGCTCCATTCTACGCCCACCACCTGCTATTGACAAGAATACATAAGCCTTGTGCATCTTTTGTTTGATAACAAACTCACTGAATCAGCCATTGCCATATATAATTCCACACTTCGGTCGAGAGTCTAGGAAGAATGAGTATAAAGTAAACCTACCTAGGCTAGCTTTCTCCATTCCTCCATAACTTCTAGTAACTTAATAGCACCAAGGTGGATGAGGACTGTTGTATAATATCAAGAGCAAATCAATATATACGTGACAAACTCTGTGCTTAGTAAAATGTGTGGGAAATTCGGATCTGGTGGAGATGATCACTTCGACTGAAGTTTAAATAGACCGGGCAGTCTAGTAACGTGACTATGACTATAGAAGGGCCTCATCCCTGTCCTCCAACTAGCGAGCAAGGTAATATATCTTCTGGTAATCATTATATCGCTTCCATAGAATTAAAAAGTCCTGAGGGGTAGGAATATCTGTGATTCACTAGTAGTGGGCTGTTTGCACGCATGGTCTGTTATGTGGAAGGATACAATATGTATATATATGTGAGTACTAGGTGCCCAGCACAAACGTACAACATAAAATTTCAGGCGACACTGAACAAGAAATGGTGAGGGCAATCAAGGAAGCATTCCACTTATAATTGATTGGTAAAAGGAACGATCAGTGAAAGTCAACTACTAGTTCGTTAGTTACGTATTAGTCCTTGGAGGTGGGTTCGAAATATATCGGCCAATGTCAATTACAATCAGGTGGTTATGGTTAGTTATCTTCAGTTTAAAAATTGTAGTTAAGTCAGAAGGCAAACTATTTATTCTATGTTGGGAGATATATCTCTCGTCTGCTCTCCAGATAGAAGGCGTGATATATCTGTTTTGATCGCCTGCAGTGGCGTAATGGTAGAACATCTCTAGGAAGGTCCTGTTTGTCTAAGAAGAGGCTTGGGGCCCTCTCCTTAGTGACTACAGATATGATTACGTTACAGACACCTACTCTGGGACACTCCACGAAGATAGTCTAGGAAAAGTAAGATAATGGACCCAAGGTAGGGTCTATCTTCTATGATAGAAAATTGGAAACGCAGTCTCTAAATGATTTCTTGGATATTTTCTACATAGACAATTAAACCTAGAGTTAACCTTGAAAATCACCCTCCTGCATAAGGAATTGTAGAGATAACTACACAGTTTAAATGGAATAGATAGAGATCTGACCCTGGGGTATGCAAAAGAAAGATAACTTAGGCTGTAAATATTTACCGGTATAGGTTTTCTGAATTCTATACAGGATTTGTCTATTTTCTAGATTGGGATGATTCAACAGAGTTGGGAAGCCCTGCTACCAGGCAGGGCGTAGTACTACCTACATAGCTGCCACATACATTTGAAGCAGCTGGATTAGGACCAATATATATAAATATATAAGTAATGGAGTGATTAGAAAAACGAAGCCTCAGATAAAGGGTAGGGGCGGATTCGAAAGTACTATGTGCTTGATCTATCTAGATCTCATGATGGTGGTTGGTTGGTAGGTAAGAGGTGTGCCTGACTACAGTAAATATATCAGCACGAAAAGCGTTTTTGACCTTCTGTCAATCGCTTTGACATTATATAGTCTCCTATTTGTCATAAGTAAGCGTAGTAGTTAATAAATAAGGTAGTTAAGATACATCTATAGACAAGTGAGAGCAATCTAACCGACCAGCGGAAGTAAATGGATAAAATAACTATGACAAGCAGCGACTTTCCTCTAATACTAGTTGCCTGAATATATAATATTGTTAAAGTATATGCCATGAAGTATATATCTGTAAGTGTTAATCCAGGACTCTTCCTCTATGGACAGAAAAAGCAAAACTGAAACTTGAACCATATGCACCAATGAGGAAATAATTTTTGCCGCCTGCTCGAGGCTACTACTCTTAGTATATGCAAGCCAGGTGTTCGCCGCAACAGATACCTCGAGCGGGGCTGACCGTCAGCCTCGTTCCTTCCATTTCACCCATCTCAACCTGAACGAGTTCGACTCTGGACGAGGAAACAGCAGCCCAGAAGGTTTCCCAGAATGTTTCTCAGACTCTGTGCAAAACTCAACTTTTCAAAGAGAAATCGGCATGGTCGTCTTGAGAAGCATGACGAACAGCTCAATTTATCCCCGAGCACAAAAGCTCGCGATCACGTCGTAGCAAACCACGATGTTGAAGTTTCCTCTACGCAAGAAGCAGAATCTACTTCGCAAAGAGCAAACCTTTGGGAAGTGGCCGGAGAAAAGCTAAACGAGAATGACCGAAAGGCTCTGGGTTTGGAGAGGCCCCTCCCTATCACGGATGCTCTCGAAAGTGTGCTCAAGTCCACTGAAGAAAAATACCGCGAGTACAAAAAAGGTGGACTCAAGATTCGCAAGCGCGACGGTGGGCATATCAACGTCCGCGATTCCGCAAAAAGCATCATTCTACATGCCTTGCAGGCGCAGGATCTTGTCACTAGACTGGTCTCTTTTGATCCGACTGGTCATGGTACGTTACTACACATTGACCTATACAAGGTTCGGGACTGTATGCATATATACTAACAATCAGGCTCAGCGTCAAGTGCATGGTCGGTCGTTTCGATTGGGTTGTCGATAATCAAAAATGACATTGAACGCCGGGATGAAATCTTCCACGCAGCCGAGTATCTAGCCGGAATCCTTTCCTACTATGCGATCGTGGACAATCACTATCGAGAAAGAAAAGCGGAAAGTGATGAAGGATTAGAAGACGCTCTGGTTGAAGTCTACACTGCCGTTCTTCAGTACACCGTGGAGGTGAAGAAAGCAGAAAATGAAAGCAAAGCTGGTATGTGGTTTAGATGGTGGTTTTCCATATGGTGGTAAATCCTGATAAACTCAAAGCTCGTACATTGAAAAGCATCACGGCCCTTGTTCAGAAGCCGTTTAAGGAACTCAAGGAAGCTGTCGAAAAGAAAGAGCAGGCTGTTCGAAAGTGGGCAGATCTTACGGAAGCTCTAGGTACTACCACCATCCATTTTCCAAGAGCAAGAAAGATGAGGCCTTGCTTAATATTACAGACCGCAGGGAACAAGCCGAAGGCATGCTCGATGTAATTGACAAGGCTATTGAAGAACTGAAGATCATTCAATCGCACACTAGGAGTAAGGGATACGCTAGGTACCAGAGAAGGACATGCACTGATATCAGCAGGCTTGCAAGACCGAGAAATTCTCGACTGGTTGTCCACGGCATCCTTTTCAGATCCACATAATAATACTCAAGGCCACCGGGCGTCAAACACGGGGAATTGGTTTCTCAACCTGCCCGAGTATAAAGAGTGGAAGATCACACCTGGAAAGATCTGTTGGCTTTATGGAGCAGGTATGTTCCCTTAATCTCTATGCAATCATATCTAATGATCTTTTTTACGAAAGTCGGCTGCGGAAAATCGGTTCTTTGTTCTACAGTTATCCAGGACATCGAGGAATTCTGCAGGTCTGATCCATCAAGAAAATTTGCTTACTGGTACTTTCAGTTCAGCAATGACGAAACACAGAAGGTGTACAACATGATCAGGTCCATATTGCGACAATTCATGCCGCGAGCACTTCCTGCATCTATAATCAAGCTCTGGGAAGAACATTGCAACCGAGGCAGCAAGCCCCAACTGCAGAAATTTGCCGATATCCTCGACATAGTGTTGGGAACCTCTCAGAGCGAGTTTTTCCTAATCCTTGATGCCCTAGATGAGTGTCCCGTGACCGGAAACGACGAACGGAGGTCTCTCTTACAATTTCTCGAAGAATTGCTAGAGAAGCATCGAATCAGAATACACATTCTTGCCACCAGTCGACCAGAGCCTGATATACGCTCAAGGTTGGAACGATATCAAAGCGTGGATATGGAGCTTGGATTGGGCCAAGATGTGGAGACTTTCGTCCGTGCTCAAGTTACTCATGGCAGGTTGCGTGAATGGGGCGAGTCGGTTAAAAGGCGGATTCTAGAGAAATTGCTTGATATTCCGGAACGGTACGTCACATTAGTCAACACATATGTACAGCCCGATTAACGCAAAACTAATGAGCAGGCGCTTTCGCTGGGCTGATCTGCAGATAAGGCGGCTTGAAAAGTCCAAGACTGAGGATGCGCTCCACAAGGCTCTTGATTCAATTCCAGTCACACTCGAGGATACCTATAAGGATACCCTCGAAAGGCTATCAGAAGATGATCGGCAAGCAGCTCGCACAATATTAATTTGGCTTAGTTTCTCTGCCGTCCCGATGGATTTGAAGACTGTCGCGGCTGTTGTGTCTTTCCGCTTTCCAGAAGACGTCGTAACGACCTGCACTACTTCTCTAGTCACTGTGAGTATCTCCGATGATACTGTGAGACTGGCACATTTCTCCGTAAAGGAGTTTTTGGTACGCAACGAAGTCGAGGGTCACTGGTATCAATTCTCGGTCATGTCTGGTCATGAGGCCATAGCAAATCGAACGATCGACTGTCTGCTCGAAAACACTGAGATCCTAACCAAGACCACCGCCGGGCAGCAGCCACTTCTGATATACGCTGCGAAATATTGGGACCATCATCTGGCCGAATTAAGGGATCTGCATGCCAAACCTACCGGTCTCCAGGAGAAGGTTGACCGCCTGTTCACCGAGCGTGATGTTTACTTCAATTGGGTACGCTTGGCTTCTTTTGAGCGGGATTACAAGTGGTATCAATCATTCGAGGAGCTGCAACCGCCTCTGAGCTCTGCATCACAACGAGGACTTATATCAACTGTTGAAACGTTGCTTGCAAAAGGCGCAGATCCCCTGGGGCCACCTCTTGATAGCCCTGAAAATACATTGCTTGCGGCCGCGTCAGAAAACCGCCTGGAGGTCCTACAGTTGTTACTGAATAAAGTGGATGAGATACCACGAAGAATGACTGGACTGATGCTAATGTTCGTTGAAACCACCGAGGCTGACAAAGGGAAGTTGGCGAATATGTTGGACCTACTTTGGGACAAGGGTGCTTTGCGTGATCGATCAAGAGCATCGCATAGGATAATTGATAGCTTCCTAGTTGAAAGCGCAGCTCACAATGTGATATCGGGCCACATAGTAATAAGCTGCTTTCTGGATCGAAAAGAAAAAATGGGTGTTAAGATAACTGAGAAGTTGTTAAAAGCTGTGCTGGAGAATGGAATCTGCGGCGAAAAAATCATGCACTTGCTTTTGAGTAAGTGTGACGCGGATATAAAACTCACTCCATCATTGATGCGGGACCTGATGAAGACAACCAATAGTGATGCGGCAATTGCCGTTTTGAAGAGGCGGATGAACGATTTTGTGTTGGACGAGCAATGTGTTGGAGCTTTCGCAAGGGGAGAGAAAGAAGCGATGGAGCTGCTTCTGCGGGAGCGTGGCGAGGAAATCCAAGTCACCCGAAATGTTTTGATTACAACCGCCAAATCGACATGTGATCCGCAGACGTTTAGGCTACTTCTAAGCAGACGAGATACCGGGGCGGCTATCGATAAAGAGGTCCTCCTGGCTGCTGCAGGAAACAGGCTAATAGGCTCTGAGATCATGGAGGTGTTGCTTGATGAGTGTGGACAGGACACCGTCATTGATGGTGAGATCATTCAGGAGGTTGTACAAAACCGTAACGAAGGCTTAGGGATGATGAAGACGCTCTTGCGCAGACAGCAAGTGGGCTTTGTGGTCACCGAGCAGATATTATGCACCGCTGCTGCAAATCACAGCCGGGAAATGTTGGAGCTTCTGGTGAACAACGCCGGTGACTCTGATATTCCAATCACAGGGAAGACTTTACGCTCTGTAGCCGACAATTTTGTGCATGGACAAACCTTGATCGAGTATCTATTTGAACTTCGAGGTGACAGTCTTCCCATTTCAGATGATGTATTGGTGTCAATTGCGGATGGAGAGCATTCCCAATCAGAATATGTGCTCACATTTATCTTGGAGAGATGGCCAGATTTTCCGGTAACTGATCGACTGTTGGAAGCGGCATGTACTCTCCCTAGCACCATGAGTCTGCTGTTGGATCGACGGTGTGACAGCCTTCCAATCGAAAAAATGATCCACAAAATAACAAATGACCGGATGCACGGAGCAATGGTACTGAAGATGCTTCTGGATCGACAGCTTGTGGATGTGGATGAGGGGCTAGTGGAAACAGTTGCTGGTGGCTCCCATGCTCTGGATGTCATTTACAGAAAGAAACCGGATTTTCCAGTGACGCCAAAGATAGTGGTAAAAGCTGCAAGGGACTGCGGTGCACTGAGGATCCTGCTCGACAGACAGAAGAACCAAGCCTTGATCACAGAAGAAGTGGTCAAAGCTTCCTTGTCTGGATTTCACCCGTACGAATCCATCAACCTACTTCTGACTCGCCTAGAACCAGAAGCAGTGCCAATTACAGAGGACATCTTGATTTATGCTATTAAAACTAAAATCCTAAATCAGAACATCAGGGCTCTAAGATTGCTTCTGGAACAACGCCGTGACCTCAACCTGAGCACGGTCTGGGAAGCAATGTGGCAGGATACTGAGCTTAACCCATTTACTCTGGCGCAGGCAGCGGGGGTTCTCTTTCAGTATGCCTATTTCGATGTATCTTTTGAAATGCTGGAGATGTTTCCATCCGTCTTCCAGCATGAATGGTTCACGCTGGTCTACCCGTTCGACGGATTCATTCGAGTCTGCATGCAGCATCGGGTACCGTTGCCCACTACTGAGGCAGCAGTCGAGTTGATCGTGGAAAGAGCAAGTTTGAACACAATTGATATATTCTTGGAGGATCATCCTGACATTCCTATTACTGAGAAGTACATTGAAGCTGCTAAAAGGAATCCAGGGGAAGACGTGCACACGGATGAGTTGGTGTCGCTTCTCTTATCTACCAGGTCGAGGGCATCTTGAAAAGCACGGGATATTGTCATAGCCAGGTTTCTCTCTTCCTTTTTCTTTTTCTTTTACTTTTTTGTCTTTTTCTTTTCCTTTTCCTTTTCCTTTTCCTGTTTCCTATTTCAAGCTAGATAGACAATATCATTGCTTCAACATTTGTGTAATGCTACATTACTAGATAGACACCAGACCTCCTCCTTATCTCCTCTTAGATCTTAGTTTCAGTCAACCAATTACGTGGTTCATCCATCCATACTTTCCCTCCACTCCGTTTGCTGGGAATGACAAATTTAGCTTATCAGAATTTGCACCAGGTATAGATACCCGTAGATCTCAATACAATACAATATGTCTCTAATGCTTGTTCTCCAGGGGAAGAAGACAAGTGACTAGTGGGTAGTCATAGAAACTGCAGTAGTGGAATCCAATTGGATTGAAGGAAATAGAATGAGAGAGATGAGACTACTGTTATACTGCAGGAGCTAAACCAACTTAATGGACATTTGAATGGATATATAATACTCGAGACCACTTCTAACATACTTGAATATGTACTCCACGAGTACTCATCCCAACCATACCACTATTCCCAAACGGTCACAACACCACTAACAATGAAAATAACACCACCACACACTAATACTAATCTAAAACAACCCCTCCATATCCAAATCTAAAAACTCCGGATTCCCCACCGCCATATCCGCCGCATTCAACACATCATCAATACTGGTATCCAACCCTCCACTTCCCATGCCTCCCATACCTCCTGCTCCCCCGCTACCATCCATCCCCGCCGCGACAGCATTATCCAGCATTTGGTTGATCGTACTCTCCTCCTCGTGGCCGCCCGCCCCAGACGTATCCAGGTCCATTTGTCCCGGTCCGCCCACGCCCACACCAAGCTGCATATTCTGAATGATATTGTTCATGTCTAGCTGCGAGGGCGGAGTCAGCGCGGCGTTGACGCGGCGCCATAGCCGCACGATGATTTCCGCGCGGAGGGGGTCCTTTTCGCAGATTTTGGGGACGGATTCGTGCAGTTGGTAGAGGGCGCCGCGGGGGGTGAGGATGGGGTTGCGCGGGGGGATTTCTTTGTTCGTATTGGTAGGGTCCATGTGGTGATGGGGGGAGTAAGTGTTTTGGTCGACGGCGAAGGAGTCGGCCAGGGGCGCGCAGATCATGGTAGCTGCGATGTCGAGGGCGAGGTCGCTGCTGCCTGTAGCGTTTGTGGGGGAGGTGGTGGCTTGGAGTTTGAGTTCGTCGATGAGGGCGCATAGTACGCGCATGGAGCCCTGGATGTGGATGCCTGCGATGAATTGGCGGTGGGTGTAGGATTGAGGGGCCATGCTCATGTCGGGGCTGGTGCTCCAGAGGATGAGCGATTGGAAGGTGCTGCGAATGCTGGCGAGGAGGCCGCCGGGGGTGTGGGCAGTCCAGGACTCGAGTTCGCTGCGGTGGGTGCTGCCGCTGCGTTGAAAGGAGAGGTGGGGGTCCAGGGCCTCGAGGATGGGTTTGATGGTATCGTCGGGTTGGCGGGCGCGGACGCTCTTGAGTTGTTCTTCGAGAGAGCGCGCGGTGATGTTTAGCACTGTTCGGTGGATTTCTTTCGCTTCGCCGGAGATGGAGCTCGGGCTTATGAGGGAGTGGAGGGCTTTGAGTGGGATGGAGGGGTCGCTTTCGGATTCCCAGATGTGGTTGCCGAGCCAGTTTAGGGCGAGGATGAGGGATGGGAGGAGGAAGGGTTCTAGGAGGTCTGGTGTTGTTAGCTTTGAGGCAGGAGTAGGGGGGAGGGTTAGGGGTGCAGGGCTTACATTCGAAGCCGCCCTTGAGGGTGTCGAAGTCTAGTTTTCCTGCTTCGCAGGCTCCTAGACTCTGGTTGAAGAGTGTTGTCACTAGCAGGTAGAATTCTTGCGGACTGCACGCGGACATAGTCTCCTCGCTGATCCCCTCGGCCATGAATAGGGCGTTGATCCAGGATCCAAGATTCTTGTTCTGCTTCTCGCTGAGGTCGTCGAGCTTCTGGCTGCAGAAGCCATTCTCGAGCAGTCGCAAGACAAAGGAGTTGCTACCTCCGATTCCCATGTCCTGCGGTCGTAGATCGTACCGGAACTTGAAGGTCAGCACGAGCAGAAGAATGCTTCCGAACTCGTCGTAGACTGGTTGGCTCTCGCCTTGGTCCTCGTCCCAGTGCCAGGCGTCTAGCAGAGCGCAAAGTGGTTGTAGTACTTGCTTCAAGCTCCGGAAGAGCAAGATCACATCCAGGGCCTGCGGCCGACGAGAGAGTGAGTTGCAAATGTTTTTCAATGTCATGGTCTCTTTTTGATTGCAGAGATGGTGCATGACCTAAATGCGTTAGCATCGAACTGAACCACAAATTTTGAAGGGCTTACCTCTGTAATAGCACCCACTATCGCACCTGCATTGCCCTCCATCGACTCAATCTCGTTGATCAACTGCTCTGCGCGCTCCGGGTTGGCATTGATCTGCGAAACAAGATCATCCTTGTTGTATGGGCCACCGACGGGGAGAGTCTGCATTGGATTCTCGCCCAATAGGCGCTCGATACTAGACTCGGGGATCAGCTTGTGCGAGGCACAAGCAAAAAGGAACTCTTGTCGCACGTCGGACAGGACCGTGTTGCTTTGCATAGCAAACATCTGTGAGAATGATGGAAAGGTGTTTGGATCTAGCCGACTCAAAGCATGGCTGATGCAAAGCTCCATCGGCAACGGCAACGAGACAATAGAGGCTGCCAACATGGCCGCAATGAAGGTAGGAAGCTTGTTCACCAGAAACGAGCGGAATAAGAACATTGTTCGGCTAGACTCGTTGCGGTAGCTAGCATTCGATAGGACATCGAACGAAGCTGTTATGAGCTCCTCGATAAGAACTTGGTAATGTCCCTGCGATGGTCAGCTACATGCTGTGATAAACATGAGGTCCTACTCACGCCGTATCTATTTGACAGGAAATTGAGCAGCATGCTGTCATCCACTAAGGGGCGGCCCACAAGCTAGAATCCAGTTAGTAATATCCGAGTAACAGTGCAGCAGCTGAAATACCATCGCATTAATATACACATAGAGACCTGCTCGCGAGTTAATCACAGGCCCGTCCATGACCGAGTCCTCAAACTGAAGCGCGTTAACGTTCACATTCTCCATCATGGAAACATCCAACGCCTTAGACGGAGGCTCTCCAAAGAGATTGAACTCCTTCTGCAAGCTATCCAAGCGGTTGCGGAGCGGCAGGGATACTTCCACACAGAGGGGAAGATAAGCCGACAAAGCCTGTCCAAGCTTTATCTTCAACGCTATCAAACCATCAGTAAATCCTAGACACTAGAATAAGACGGTGCAATACCTTCATGCGAATCCGCCGAAAGAACCTCCAAACCCTTAGCAGTCCCCGAAAGCGCAGCAAGCAGAATCCCCAGACTCTCAAACAACGACACAGCATCCGGAGAACTCATCAACCCGCCGGTCTGATGACTTGTATCCAAATGGCTATTATGCCAAGCCACAACAGCCTGAATCCAATCCACAATGGACGCAAAGATACTCAGCGCCTCGGCAAAAGTCTTGAAAGCAGTCCCCGTCGAAACAGAAAGCATAGCGTCCTGAACAACCCTGATATCCGTCATCAGGGTATAACACTTCCGCTTCTGTTTCCCCTGAACAGCCTCCGAGCCACCAGGCGACTGCAACTTATCATGAATAGACGAATGCTTCAGCAGTGAATTCAACATGGTCGAAGTCCTCACCAGCCCCATCTTGCACAGACAGTCAATATACAAAGGCGGCAGGGGATCCCATTTAATCCCCGTTGCGAGGCGGGTCTCCAGCAACACATCCAGCAGCTGAGCCTCAGCAATGGGATAGCGCTGCATCAGCAGCCGCGTGAGGTTCTTGAACTCCGCGGCATCGATCCGGTGGAGCAAACATTGTTGGAGGAATGTCCCCCATTGTTCGGAGGATGTCATGTTCCAGATATTTTCGCGAGATTACCTGGCTGTGCGGAGTGCATAGCAAATAGAGAAAGCTATATATAGGGCTCAAATTACACGTTCACTTGAACACGGCGCTGATGTAGCGTTGGACATCATGCCTTGGCCTCCTTGATAGCGGTTCTTTCCGGGGAAAGCTTCAATCGTTTGTTTGGAACGACGTCGCGGAGGGTCACGTGGCATTATATAAGCATTGTCACATGATATTGTCCATCGACATTGCCCGTCGAGGCTGAGGTGTGCCTGAAGAGGATGAGGTGTGCCTGAAGAGGATGAGAGACAACCACAACATAGTTAGATGTGTAAGTGTGATAGCGTCCATATTTCTAGTAGTATATATGCACACATGAGGCCAGTCTGTATATAAAAGGATCCAGACTATGCTCGAAGTCATGTCAAAGCCTATCGGTACCTGCCAAGCACAAGTCTCCGTAATTACAATACCATACACTCCAGTAACCATGAAGTAATCAAGTCCGAGCAGAGAGACCCTGTGTAACCATAAGCATCGGGCCTACTACCTAGCTCGAACATGACAGACTTCAAACTACATGAGACACAAGAAAACCGAGTTATACCTCAAACAGTATATGCAGCAGACAAAATTGGTGTGCTCGGACGTTCGCCGTTGTTAGTCAAAGCGATCTGGGAGCCAAAAATACTCATGATCACAAATACACAGGCCAATCAAGCCCGACAGATCAAGGGTAAACGGCCGCCCTGGGCGCACATCTAGGGCAAGTCGAACCATGGGACCAAGTTGGGGGCTTGACGGACATCTAATAATCCGAATTGTAGAGTGGGGGATTTTCCCCAGAGTAGACTAGATGGGATGGGTGGAGGGAGGGTAGGGCCACAGTGAGAACCACACAAAGTGACTTTCTCTTACCTCCCCACCCATAAAAAAAGATTTAAGCGACGGAATTAGGACCAAATACCATGTGAGATCTTGTGTGCATTTGGCCCTGAGATTTTTTTTTACTCTTCCCCTTGCCGATCTCCCCACCCGAGACGAGGATCTCGGAAATCTGGAAAGGGGACGAGGCCATGAAAAGTGAGGTTAATCTCGACGAGATACCGGAAACGGGTTGTCTGACGAGGTCTCTCTTTTTCTCTCTCTTTTGCTCTCTCCCGGCCGAGAGAAAAGTACCATACGTATACCGCCGGAGCCGAGTACTCGGAATTGTAATTCCTTGACACATGGGATTCGCTTGGTGAAATTGTGAGGTACTAGTATTGTTGTGTATATATGGTAGTATATATATATTAAATGTGAAGAGTAGGGGATAATATCAAAATAGCATTTGGTATAGTGATGGTCAATGCTGATTGACAGATTAGTTAGATCATTAATAGTAAGGCAATTACTATTACTGGAAAGTCTGTGCTGTTTTGCTTTCACCAATGCAGGGTACTTTAATGAATCAGAGCTTTCTGACTCGCATTCTGCGCATCTCCCTTCTACACAAGGAACCTCTGCCCGGAATTACTACCTAGTAAAGTATTAGAGTTTCGTGGGCGAGGGGTCACTGAGCGGCGATCTTGCATATGTGGGTAAGAATCGCCCGTCGGAAATACTGTCCCATCGCCGGTACGGGTACTAGTAAGATTCAGTTCCGGTCCGATCGATCTGTATTACTTTCAGTATTGTTCGATGGGTTTGCAGAGTAACAATGATTATATGATGTTATATCAGGGATTTGATGGTATACATTTACCCTGGAGAGAAGTATATTATGCACAGTTATACACACTATACTCGTACCCTCGAATATCCAGGAACCTGACTGTAGTTTACTGATAGAAGTATTGTAAGTGCGTCGTACGCATAGTTGGTAATACGGTTGTAAGCGAGCTATGACCCCTCGACCTCGATGACGCGTCGCAACATGACAGAACCCCGAGCCCGGCGCCTTGACTCACCTGCCACCTGCACTGTTCAGTTGCCTACATGACAAGTACGGCGACTAGATGACTTGACATAAGAGAAATCGTATATCTGTTCTTTGGAAGCTAAAATGGTCAAAGCAGCGTACACACCGAACGCCGAAGCACAGATGAGAAACTACTACTCCTTCAGAAAAGACGGAGATCTCCGAACAAATCTACTATAGCACTTCCGATGGATCGGATGTGGTGTGGGAGTTAGTAATCGGCCCAGTCTGAGCTCGAGCATACGAAGATGTTACCAACCGGCGAAAGAACAGTAATCTGTTACGATCAAGCGGCAGAGTGCAAGTGCTTGAAAGGAAATATGACCGACGACTAGGCCGATGGCGATCATCCTTCCCTTTTTGAATTTCCCCTTTCCTACGGGGATAGTAACACATCTAACAAAAGGAGTAAAAGGTCAGCTCAGCATCAAATTTGAGCCGTGAGAAGTGCCAGGGGGGATGTGTACAGAGTAAAGTACGTAACATATCCGTCGATCGTGGTTGGTTGGTCTGCCGCGGTGGACGGATTGCTGGACCCAAGGATCCATTGACCGTTTCGTTTCGAATTGAGTATAAATGCGCTCATTCAGGAAAGAGGGGCATGTGATTTAATTGTTTACCCGGAATAAGCATGAGGTGAATCGTCCCCCGGAGGCTGTCTGGGTAAGAACTTGGGGAACATGCTATGATCATTGGCAAGCCTAAAGTAAGCTCCTTAGTATAGCTCAGCAATTGCCTGCCAATCACAGTCTCTTAATTGAGTTCCTGACTCGTGAATAGATCCCTTCAATTGGTGTTAGTAAATGTTCGAGGTGCCGTAGACCCGTGGGCAAGACACACCTGACTTTCCTGCAGCGGACGAGTCCTTGGAACCCGAGACCGGAGGGGTCAACTTCCATTACTAAGGATATCCCATGATGACAGCGAGCTACACACTCTGAATTGAACAATTGACATACTTATGGATGAGGCTCATGGTTCTTCGTGCACACCGATTTCCGAACCCTGGGCCTGTCGGCGCGGTTCGGTATTTAGTCTGACCTGAGCTCTCAAAAGGTAAGTCGGTGTAAAGCCTCGGTTGAACATGAAAGCAAGGAACGCACATGCTACGTTCTGAAAACCCAACGCAAGTGCGGCTCTGGAGTCTCTCGCGACGTACTGACTCCAGCCGCTGGGCTCCCTCTTCGGTAATGTAAGCTATCGGGTATTACTGGCTGGCCATGCGGTTCCTGGCATGTCGCATAACGAAAGACTAGAGGGCCTAGAATTCAGTACGGCGTGTTCAGGGCTGCTTGATATAGTTGGCTCGAGTCGCAGAAGCGCCAGTAGATATCATCACGAGGCTGTCTCGGAGGCTGTTCCACACTATGACCCACATTCAAGGGAGAGACCAAAACTGTAGACTTGTAAAAGTCTAGACATTTAGCATCAATTCAGCAAGCGTAATGTTTCCACGGCGTTCGTCATTAGAAGAAAGTATGCGTCGGCACAGTTGTGAATTGATAAACGATGTTAAAGGCAACTTCTCGTACCTTTACACTGAAGCCAGGGGTAGATCGGGATTAGGAAAGAGCATTTTCATGATGCTGTACATTCACCAGTATGCGCGAGGAAGCATCAGTGAAGCGATTCCTGTCGAAATGCGTTAAAGCATTACGTCGCAAACGGGGATACTCCCCTACTGCACACTGGCTACCGTGGCAGAGATGGGTGACTCTAATCAAAGCCCGAATAGTCCTTTAGCACTTTTCCGAGTAATCTTGGCTCGTTGCACGTTCCTACCAATTAGGTGAGCCTTGCTTAAACGCCTTGTTATTGACGCTTCGGTTATGCAGGATGGAACACCACGGGGCTAGGCTGTCAAAGCCTATTCATGAGGGGGTGATGCATCTTTCTCTGATGATCATCGTATTTAGACCTGCGTAAACGAATATTTTGACCGTCATCACAACGTCGATCAGAAAGACATAGATGGTCGGTAAAGCGGCCTTTGGTCACTATTGTTTACTATTAGTACTAGCAGCCCACAACATCCAGTGGAGTCTTCATCCACCCTGACGGATCAGAGCCACACGTTTGAGACAGCATCAGCGTTCGGTCAACATCTGCAACATTGCTACACTAACAACAGCTAGTGTGGCTGGCAAACCCTTGATCCTTGCAGAGATCTGTGGCTAGTGCAGACTAGTGGCAATAATATGTGGCTGGAGGAACTGCCCCGCCACGGTGGCAAAAGATGCCGTGGCTGTGATGTCGATCGCTGTGGCGTCGGGGTCGCCGTCTGGCCAGATTTGTTCGTTTGCTGTAGGTAGTATCGTGGGCGAAGATCTTTTATGCTATGTGAGTTAGAATGAGCTCAGTCGGCAAAGAACAAGCAGGTACCGATTGAGTCGGTCAGGGTGATATCCTTCCTGGGAATGGGTAAGGAGAGGGATACCCAAGAGTATAAATCGAACCGGCCAAAAGAAAGTTTCAGATACACGGCCGAACGGTAACTTACACCCCATGGAAAAGGTAAGAGTAAAAGAAAATCATGCATAACCCAAGTAAGCTCCGATCATCCCCTACATATGGTGTCCACCTCCAATAGTTGCCTGGAGGTTGTCGGCTCCGAGCCCGTATTTGCTTGCCCCAAGTGAGATGTCACACTTCCATTAGTTTCTCTCCGCTCAGGTTGCGGCCGCGCGACGGGTCAATTTTTGGTGGCAAAAGCGCATGCGAAGTCAAACATGAGCACAATGCATTATGCAGCTTTAGATTATCGAGCAGCCAATTGGACGGCCTGGAACTGCCATAGTGGATAGGATGAACGTGCTCGTGCATACATACTCTTTGTGAATTCCGGGAATTGGTGTGGTGACGCTGCCCCATTGATAGGTCGGCGGTAATTCGAAAAAACCCCAGAAGGAACAAAAAGTTGCGAATTAAGGGGTCTCAACCTTGCATGGTTTCCAATCAGAATACTCTGTACACCAGGGTGGAAGTCAATAATATATTGGATGGACACGGTTGAACGTTCCTTTTTCAGTCAACACCCGGAATTGTTTTCCCTTGGAATCAGCCTCTCCTGGTTGACATGGAAAGTGGCCTCTACCCCAACGATACCGGTGTCAGACAACGCGGTCAACGGTTATCTCGCATTGACTCCGTGATGTGTTGTGCGGTAAGGCGTGCTAAGCGCACGAAATGCATTGGACAACTTTGATGTTGTAAGCACTTAACCTGTTTGGAGCCATGCGCATCGGGATCTAGAAAGGGAAAAAGCAAATGCCATCTCAGATCCACCAACGGTAACATAATAATCAAGCCACCGACCAAGTAAGCCACAGTGAGTTATGGTTCGCGGTGCAGAGATACGACCCAGCTGCATCGCACCACATTGTTTCGCCAGGTATCTGTCAAAGCCCGCCCGGAAGACGAATGCATATCACCTGCACCATGAGCATGGCGTCTCGTAAGCCGCAAGGTGTGAACAGCCGGTTGGTGCTTGTTTTGGAATGCTTTTCACACCGCTCATCCGGGGTTTCGTTCCTTTGCTGTCCCGGTTTCATGCTGTGGACATGCGTGCATATGTTGCTATCGGGGCCACGAGTTGCTCTACTGGAGAGTAGCATGTTACCAGCTGTGCCATATCCCAGATCTCAGTCAGGTTAGGTAGAGTAGCTGATACATCAGTCGAGTAATTTCTTCTTTCGCCGCGCATAAATTCTTCTGCCTGTATCAGCTCAGCTGGGATGCGAGCTGGCCGAATAAGGAAAATTATCAATAGAGCCTGGCCAAAGGCGGGACGTCATCACCGCATCGACCTTACCAATGGTGTAGCTCGACCAGTAAGGTGCAGAAACGGCCTCGCTATTGCAGTGAGTGGATCTGGGGCTGGTGTCAAGAAGGCCGCGGCGTCACGGAGTGGCAAATTTCGTGACATTAGCTTAGTTGAGCTGGAAGGCAGCCAGGCGGGCCCTATAGTGTGATTGATTAGCAAAGGCTCGGTGATTTACTGGTGGCCTGAATCCACATGAAATCGAGTAGTTCATGCTTTCTGGTGAGACGCCGAAGCAGTTCGGAAGTGATAGTTGAATCAGGGAACCCCGTCCACGAAGCTCGCACGGGGAGGGAGAAGTTCGAAGAAGGAAGTCAGTGATCGGGGACCACAACCTTACCGAGTGCCCGACCGTATGGTACATTAATTACCATACCTACTTACCCTTGCCAGCAAGCCCTGTGAGAGTTGACCTGCATGACTGCGGGTCAGCTGGCTGTCTCGGTCTTACTCTTCCTTTCGTCGGTAGTCAGGTCGGACTTAATTCTGCTCGGCATTTTCTGGTTTACACCCAATTTTGCATCAGAGAGTATCATTCGAGCTTCCCGATACTCTGCATGAAGGATGTCAAGACTAAAGTCATGACAAGGTCATTGTCGTAGAGAGGCCACGAAGACGTCGAAGACCAGTCCTGCGCCTGCAGGTGTTTCACGCAGCCGGTCAATTGGAGTCGTCGTCGATGACCAGCTCATCATCTTATATGAATTGGCAGGTCTGATCCCTGATACTGATCCGTGGATTATTACAGATTCACTATGCTACTGCTTGCGCCTTCCGGGATTTCACAAAATAAGGCACTGGTGTGAGAGATAAGAATGCTGATTACAAGACCTCATAGACACCAGAGGAACACCAATTGGCGAGCATAAAGAAGAAAAAGAATAGAATAGAATAGCACAGCAGGACGGCATTGAGCTGTCGATGCTGTACCCCGCTAAACTTCAACATGCATTAGCACAGTAATTCCTCCTTTTGCATCTGTCGGTCCAGCTGCCAGGCGACTTGGACTCGAAGGGTTCTAGACAGGAAAGGCAAGGGAAATCAATCATTATCACACAGATGATAGTCCAGGGAAGGGGTTCCTGACCGCCGCATATACTACTAGCACACGAGACTATGGGAACGCCACTTACACCGCATCCTTCGCGAAGATAAGCGATGCGAACCGGGATACTGAAGCTGAAGCTGAAGGGTTCGTTGGGTTGATGATACGGCAGTGCCAAGGACACATGGCTGACAGGACGGATGATTGGTGATGGGGAAGTCCCCGGAATTCATCGCCATTCAAACTGGCCATCTTGAACCCGATGAACTGGGCACCGTGTGATCATTTGGCATGGATGGGGATGATTGTTACCGACCACGGTAACGTATGGGGCTCGGGAAAGGGCTGGTACCGTCAGCATACAGCGGCAGATACTGGGTCGGATTATGATCGGGGATGGACGATCTCACATCTCGCACAGTTTCCCTCTTTCTTTTCCCTTTCCTTATATTTCTTCTTTGCTTATATTTCTTCTTCGCGGTACCCTGGTAGAATTCATCTTCACGAGACTTGATCGTCCAGCCCGGGCACTCTGCTCGACTACACGGATATTCAACCGCAGCGTGTGAAGGACGTCGCCGGCATCCCACTGCTTACCCAACTGAGCCGGGTGCAGTTTCAGAAGGCGATACAGCTCAAGATCTGACCGCTGTCGAAGCCACCGATGGAGGGATACTATTACTCTTACTACACCACCGCTAAGAAGCCGAAACGTAAGTACTTGAGACTATGTGCAGCTGCACGGATATCTTTCGATCTGAGCGACGGGCCTATCAGCATTTTTCCGGGTCCACAGGCCCAAAAGGACACGCGATGACCAGCGCGTTTTGCCATCCGCTAAGGGCGGAGCTGCTAGTAAGGTACGGGGCACCACCACCACCCTTCCCTACACTAGTCTGCCCTCCCTTTCCCGGGTTCAGATGGCCGTACCTGGTTTTTGCCTTTTTATTTTTGGGCAGGGGAAAAACAAGCGAATCATTAAATCCTACCAGTCTTGTCATTTTGATGTAACGAAGCTAATACATGATTTTTCCACATTTATTTCTTTTCTTTCAATTTTATTTAGTTTTTACTTTTTAAATCTATCAATTTGTTTTACTTACTTTTCATGTGTATTTTTTTTATATTCTTAAACCTTCTTCATAACCATGATCGGGTATGCGCTGTGATGGATTACCACGGGTAAGAGTCCGCTTAGAACTAAACCAAGTGTTGCCCTGTTCCCAACGGACCACTGCCTAGTTTGGGGGTGGAGGGTTTAGCACTGGGATTTATTGCTTGCTGCTCACTAAAAAATCATTATTGGCTGTGGCCTAAAAAAAAATATTCCATCAACCCGAATTTAACTTGTAAAAAGAAAGAGAGGGGGGAAATATTAGTATTATAAAAGGAAATATTAAATGCCAAAAAAGAAAGATAAAAATAAAAATAAAAAAGAAAGTATCAGAACCTTCTTATTTATATGATACAGTTTCTCGAGAACCACACCCTCTTTTTTCACTTCCAGTCCAGCCCAACCCAAACCGAGAAGTTGACCGATACTGCCTGCGTGACCCTATCGGGTACACCCGTTCTGGTTCTAGTCGCTCGTCAGGTCCCAAACAATATACAAGACTACTTACGTCCACTTGCCAGCGCTGCTCCGCAATCTGACTCTTTTTTTCTCTTCGGCCGTTCCATTCTCAATTCACTGCCTCTTCCTTTCTTTGGGTCCGAGGATTTATGTATGTCGCATACCCCCCGTTTCATCTCTTCAATGGACTCTCTTTCTATAAAGCCTCCCCCCCTCCAACTACCTCATCCACCCGCTCTCTCTTTCCCCTCCTTGGCCTCGACCCATGCTCTGTCATGAGCTGTGTCTGTCTCCCCTCATAAATGGAATCACGCTTAGCAGATGTCCATGAATGAATCTCACTCGGGTAGAGGACTAGGTTTTGCGATCAGGACTCTGTTTCGCTCCTCCCCATCGCCCTCCCCGACTCCTACCCCGCGACATCGAGTCTCTCTCCTCCGTCGAGGTCGGAGTATATTCTCCAACAGGTACGGTCTCCATTGACTTTTCAGTCACTTGAGTCCCATGACGCTTGCTATTCTTACCCCGTATTTTGCTATGGGGCCGTTCACTTCACTGTTCCCTTCATCTCCGGCTTCAATCGCTCCGTTGGACAATTGTGAAGACAAACCGTTGTGAAGCAAATGACTAAGTCTCTTTTCTGAGCAGGAACCCTCGAAACCCGAGTAAACATTCGTCCGAGTTCCCAATGCATGACTTCCAGCAAACTAACTCGGCTGCGATGGTGGGACTTGCCCAAGCGTCTGCAGGCGACAACTTTGACATCTTCCAATGGCACCCTCGATACCAAAACTGCCAGCGATACTTCCTAGATCATGCGCAACACAGCGACGCGGTCCAAGCACTTTCCGCTTTTCTGAATATTCGTCTCCCATTTCAATGGCAATCGAACCCTGTCGTAAATTCTCACGCCGACCCATCACGATCCGCCGCTAGCCAATCCTCTGCATCCTCACCTGCCTCGAATCTACCTCCGTCTGTTTCATTGATTCCATACATCCGCCGCCTGGTGGCCACGGGAATGGATTTCCCTGGCGTGTTACATGGGTTTTTCGGAGACGAATGGGGTGCGGGCATTGGACCTTTGCACGAGCAGGAACGGCGCAATTACCTCTTCGCCGCGAAGAGTGGTGGTTGGGCGGCCGTGAAAAAGGATTACGATATGCCTCCGCTCGAGACAATTCCGTTCCTACGTCCCTTACAGGGACCGCTAGATTCGGAGATTGAGGCGGCGGAGCGGAGTTGGAGCGAATGGCTTGCCATGGAAGACTGGATGGTTGGGCCTCGAGCGCCTGACATTCTTCGAGACTCATCCTCACAAACTTCACGACATCACAGCTCACGAGGGTAATAAATCATTATAGGGTGCTCCGGATTTTCTTTTTCTGTCTTTTCTGTTTATTCTTTTCTGCCGCCTTTTGCTATTTGGCTTTTTCTGTCCTATTTACACTGCTTTAACCCAACACTAGCCACGCTGGCGGTAGCACGGAGTTGGTGAGTCTCATAGCATGAGATAACGATCATACGATATCTTGAATCATGAGCGCGATAGACATCGCAGGTCCACATAATGGTGTTCCGGCTTCAATTATTGAAGGAGCCGTGCGAACATCTCGCAAGGGGCCAAAGATACCATACCACAGAACAACAATTGAAATAAAACATCCGAAAAGAATCAGTGAAACCAATTAATCAATCAAACATCCATCCCTTCTTAGCCCCTATTCAGCCATGAACGCGTTATCCAGAAAGGAAAACCTGCTTCAGGTAGAGCAGGTAGGGTACCTGACAGTCCCACCGCCACCCCCCTGCGCGTCGGGTAGCAGCTCCGATAGTCATGACGATAGATAGAACGGAGTTCACCTTGATAACTAGTCAAGTCTACTACGCTAAGTAACTAAACTAGTGCCAGTCCGGTCAGGCCTCCACGAAGCTGAGCCCTTTTTTTCTTTCCCTTACAAACCTCTGATGCCTGAAACGGCGCCACCCCTGACACCAACGCCATCCGACGGACCGCGACATTAGCCCGGAGATCATCATCCTCCCCTGTAGGACATAACTCGCCTACATCACACTATCCCCATAAAAAAAACTTACTCACATACGAAGTAAGTATCACCTCCGTAGTACTCCGTATACAGAGTACTTTGTAGTTATATCCACGATTGCCGATGAACCCGACCGAGCCGCGCCCCACCGGTTCCTCACTACCTATCACAGTGATCTAGTCTATCCAGCGGAACTCCCGATATGGTACGGCTACATCTCCTACCACCTGCAAATAACTAAGAAATCATTTATCCATATCCACGTTGATGGCTTACCAAGCAAGTCAACCAACGGCCAACTGTAGATGGTTCCTAAGTGTTGTCTGGCTATCGGCCGTACCAAGATAAGTATGTACCACGATAAAGGAGAGACTAGGAAACATCGCCTAGTAAGGAAGGTAGGGCAGGGCAACCACACCATCTTTCGATACCGATATACCCGCTTCCACCACCGCCCATTCAACCTTCATCCCCACATTTATCTACCGTGGAAAACTCAACTCGAGTGAGAATGGGGGAGGGTGACGGTTATGATGGCTAGCTGAAAACCAACGTCAACGACCCCCTTTTACTAATCACTTACTTACTTACCGAAGTTTGTATTGAATTTTAACTAAGTGATGTTGGTTGTGGTTGCCTACAGCAAACAC